CGGCAGGGCGGCCTTTCACTTGGAGTTCGCTGTGAATTCCAGCGAATTCTCTAATATTGACAGGCTTTGCTCTACTTGTTGTGGGGTTCGCCCCAAGGTATACCAGAGCACTTATCCATCCATCTACGGTTTCAGTTGTTTTAAGCCCTGTACTGTTCTAACAAGAACTGTAGGGTTTTCGGGCTCAGGGTCCTGCATGTTGCAGCAAGGGGTTCAGAGTTTCGAGGTTAGGGTAGTTTAGGGTTTCGTGCTTATTTAAAGTATAGGGGCCTTAATAATTACCCATACTATTTGAGGGGTTCCTTATTATAGTCTTAGTATAATGTACCCCAAAACCTGATTCTAATTACAAAAGGCCTTTTACTACATCCCCTCAACCCTAAACCCTAAACTTGAGTGTTGAATTACGGCCGAGCCCGCATCCTGAACGGCCACGCCCCCAACCCCGAATCCCAAAGCCTGTCAACCACGAGCCTCCAGCGCTTTGAAAACCCCAACCCCCGGGTTTAGGGGTTTGGGGTTTAGGGTTTGGGGTTTAGGGTTTAGGGTTCGGGGTTTAGGGTTTGGGGTTTAGGGTTTGTGGTTTAGGGGTTCACGGTTTCGGGTTTAGGGTTTAGGGTTTGGGGCATAGGGTTCATCCCGAAAATCCATCTAGCCGAAGCCCTAACCTCCGGAATGTTCGAACTCCGAATTCCTGTGTCCGCAATCCCTGAGCTTCCAACCTCTCAGCCACAAGGTGGTTTAGGGTGTGGAGCGGTGTCAAATTATCCTAGCCTACTTTGTTGTAGGTTCGTATTCGACGCCCCTTTTGGGAATTTATAGGAACCCCAAACCCTAAATCCTAAACCCTAAAACCCTAAAACCCTAAAACCCTAAACCCTAAACCCTAAACCCTGAACCCTACCAGAGAGTAGGTTTTGGCGGTTCAAGGTAGGGCTTTTTGCGTTTCTTGAATCAGGTCGTGCGAGCTGCAGCTGATAAGGCACTGGCGACCGTGGAGGGGTTAGAAGGGTTTAGAAGGGTTTAGGGCTTATTTTAGGGTTTAGAAGGGGGTTTAGGAGGGTTTACAAGGGTTTAGAGCATGTTTTCAGGGCTTAGAAGGGTTTAGGGCTTATTTTAGGGTTTAGAAGGGTTTAGGGCTTTTTTTCAGGGTTTAGAAGGGTTTAGGGCTTATTTTAGGGTTTTGAAGGGTTTGGGGCTTTTTTTCAGGGTTTAGAAGGGGACATTTTCAGGTGGGTGGTTACAGTTATAGGAGCCTCTTATAGAAGCCCTATAATATACCCTACACTCCCCACCTGTAGTGTCCTTTAATTTCAGTGGATTTTGGTAGGGCTCGGGGGTTTCATGGGTTTCGGGATTTTGAGGGCTCAGGTCTGATCTTGACTTCGCTTTCAGGGTTTGCAGTGGTAGGGTTCTAGGGTTCTAGGGGTTTGAGGGTTTGGGGGTTTAGGGTTTTAAGGGTTTAGGGTTTAGGGTTTCGGGTTTCGGGGTTTAGGGTTTAGGGGTTTAGGGTTTATAGGGCAAGTTCTAGAGTGTATGCTTCTGTTGTTGTCCGGGAGGGTGGCTTGTTTTTGTGCGGCACTCAGCCCCAAAAGCCTAATCTGAGCTGTGCTTATGGTTCGGTGTCGGGTGTCAGGTGTCTAGGATGGGTTTTGTGCTAAGAAAACTGTCAGTGAGATGGAAACCTGTTGCAGTGAAGCTATGCATTCCTTTCAACATGGCCATAAGCCCCTAAACCCTAAACCCTAAGGGAGCCCCTAAACCCTAAACCCCTAAACCCTCGGGGTTCTTGGACAAGAGCATGGCAGGACGCAAGAGCCTAAACGGATGTTTGCCAAATTTCCTTAGATCAGGGTTGAGGGTTTGCAGGGGTTTAAGGACCAATAGAGCACGCAAACGAAAGCTGTTGAAGCAAACCCCCTCGTAGGGATATGATCTTAAGGAGTTGTTGCTTAGGTGCGGCCTGTAAGAAACCCAGAACCCAAAATCCATAGCCCTAGACCTCAATTCCCTGAAACTCCCTCCAGCTACACGGGGCTTCTGGACGTCCTGGTAGACGCTGTAAGCGCCAACGCCTAAACCCTTAAACCCCAAGCCCCTAAACCCTTAAACCTTAAACCGCTAAACCCCTTGAAGCCTAAACCCCTAAACCCCTAAGCCCTAAACTCCTAGGCCCTAAACCCCCAAGCCTCCAAACCCTAATCCCCAAGGCCCTAAACCCTAAACCCCTAGGCCCTACACCCCCAAAGGCCCTAAACCCCTTCTCTGGCAGGTCATTGACGAGCGATTGCGCGACCTTGCCAGGCCAGCTGCGCTTCCGGGCTCAGGGTTTTGGGATCCCAATTTAGGGGTTTGTAGGGGTTTGGGGTTTAGAGGTTTAGGGATTTAGGGATTTAGGGTTTTAGGGGTTTAGGGGTTCAGGGGTTTAGGGCTTTAGGGTTTAAGGGTTTAGGGGTTTGGGTCCCAATTTAGGGCTACCCTTATTCCCGAAAGGAACCTTTACAGGAAGCCCTAAATGAGCCCCTTACAGGAAGCCTTGAAGGACTGTAGGGCCTCTATGACTAGGACCCAGAGTAGGCCCTTATTCCCTCTTTTAGGGTTCAGGTTCCCTTATAAAGTCCTTTAAACCAAAAAAGGGCACCCTTTTTATTCCTAGGTTTCTCTTGGGTCTTGATGAGGACTGTTCAAGGATTTTGGGTTTTGGGTTTAGGATCTAGGGAGCCCATTACCTTCTATGACTGCTCCCAGAAAATTCCACATGCCCAAACTCCCTAGACCCTCCATCTACCCTCTAATAGACCCTAAGTACCCCTTATTTGGGACCACATACCCCTATTTGAGGGTACAAGGAGGGTCCTGGTCCCTAAAGTTCAAGTCTTAAGCTCTTGAAATCCTCAAATCCTGAAACTCCACATGCCACCTAACCCAAACACCCCTAAACCCTAAACCTTATAAGCCCTAAGCCCTAAAGCCTAAGCCCCAGAGTTCCCATATCACATCCTGAAAGTCCAGGCGCCTTCGGCCGGAAAGAGCGGCTGAGGCTGCCAGCCTCCGCGGCGCCCTCCGGCAGCCTTTTGAAGGGTTCGACGGTTTAGGGTTTAGGGTTTCACCTCTAGCATCCATTTCTATAGTTCCTTTCTCGGGTACCCAATTTTGTGTTGGGGGTCCTCTAAAGCAAACTAAAAAGTCACGGTGACCAGAAAAAGAGCTACAATGGAGACGCAAGGTGTGGTCTCGGGTTTGCCAGTGCTGTAACGCCTTTGCTTTACATGATGACTGAGTCCTTGTTGGATACAATTCTACATTTTTGTTACAATAAAACCGAATAAGCACTAAGAATCATTTTTGATATGACCCCAGCGGGGAGCCAGCTGAGTTTTTGTACGGGTTGGGTCGTGTTGCGGCTTCAGGTCTTTTGAAGGGCTTGGGTGCACATCTGTTTTGTTCATGAAGGCCTGAGGCATTAGTTGCCTCGTATTTTTTCTGTGTTTTTTGTGGTTGGTTTAGACACCCTAAACCCTCAACCCTAAACCCTAAACCTTTTGGCTTTAGGCACCCTAAACCCCTTAAACCCTCAACCCTAAACCCTAAAAAACCGCTAAACCCCGAAACCCTCAACCCTAAAAGCCCAAACCCTGTAAACCCTCAACCCTAAACCTGTGCAGTTGGGGCCACACAGGAGCTCCTTCGGCTGGCGCTGGACCATCTGGGCTGTCCCTGGAACCTGCACATGGGTAGTCTTCCGAATTACGGTCCCTTTTTAGGGGTTTAGGCTTTGGGGGCTTGAGGGTTTTAGGGGTTAGGGTCTGATAGGGTTTGGGGTTTAGGGTCCTTTTTATAAGGGTGCCGTACTAGAATGGGGGCTTAGAAAGGGACCCAAATTTAGAGAACTACCCACATCATGACTGGGTTTAGGGTTTGGGGCTGGCTGCGGGGCTTTAGGGTTTTAGGGTTTAGGGTCTGTTAGGGTTTAGGGTATCGTCTGTATAGGGCCCGGAATACTCAGACTGAGTACTGTATCCCTTATAGCTCCTGCTATTACTTAAAGCACGGTGTGTAAAGCTTCATATCCCAACCCTAAACCCTACACCCCTAAACCCTGAACCCCTAAACCCTAACCCAAAACCACAGTCCAACGGTGATGGCTCTAGATTAAATGTGAAACGACTCGCGGGTTTGCATTTTGTGGAAAGAGCTTGGGGTTAAAGTTCAGGCTTTCTTGAGCTGGAACTCCGGGGGGCTCTGGGTTCGGAGGGCTTAGAGTTTGGGGCCTAGGGTTTGGAGTTTAGGGTTTATAGGGCTTAGAGTATATAGGGTTTAGAGTTTATAGGGTTTAGGGTTTTTTGAGAGGAGGGGACTTGGTTTTTGACATGCCGAAGACGTCTCAGTGCATAGTATAGACTTTGACCCTAAGTACCTCTTTCGGAAACCCAAGTATATAACTTTGCAGTCTCAGGCGGGGCGCCATGTGCAAAATGTCGACGTCCGAATGGTTAAGGTTTAGGGTTTGAGGGTTTTGTGGGGCCAGGAAGTGATCGGTTCCCGAATTCAGGATACAATTTCGTCTTTGTTGCAAGAGTACCGCAAGCTGTTGTGATCCCCAGACAATCAATCCACGCGGGCTAAAGTGCTTGCATGCTCGACATGACAAGTGTTCAGTTGTAGGCATTGCAAGGGGTGTAGCTCCCAAGTATCAAACGACTGGGCAGGGCACTGCCGGCAAGTTTGGCGAAGGGTCCAGGACGCTTGGGCCGTTTGGGGTTCAGGGTTTCAGCTGTACGACGACACACCACTTGCTTGAACTTCATGTCTTTCATCTTCAACCGCCGCTTTTTTGGCCTGATTCCAGCATTAGGTTACATGATCAAAGATTCCAGACGGATGTTTGCATGCGAAATCGTTGTCGACCATATGTCCGGAAAAGATGCAAAGTCCATCAACCGCTGGCTGTCTGCATCTAGACCTAAGTCTCCTTTGGGAGTCCAGCCGACGTGCATGCCATGGCGGCAGAAGGAGAGAGAAAAAACGTCTACTGCGATGGGATCTTCGACCTTACCCACATAGGACATCAAAATCTCTTCCGCAATGCATCGAAGCTGGGAACGCATGTATTCGTGGGTGTCGTCGGTGACAAGGATGCGAACAATTACAAGAGGCCCCCGATCATGACGGCTGCTGAGCGCGAAGCACAGGTACTAGGATGCAAACATGTCGAAAAGGTTATTCCGGATGCACTGTGCTTCGGCATGACAGAAGAGTTCTTGAAGGAACATGATATCCATGTATGTGCGGTCGGGCAGGAGTACTTCGATCGTTTTCCCGACCCCGAGGACGATCCTTACTACAAAATTCCACGCAAGTTGGGGATAGCTGTGCCGATGCCCAGGTTCGATGGTCTCTCTACTTCTGACCTCATTCGGAGGATTCAAGAGCGGCAGTCGCCAGACTGGAAGCCGGCGGCTACTCCAGAAGAAAGCTCGACCAGCAAGGTGCTGGAGGCAGAAAAGGACCTCGAAAGAGACATTCCTGAAGGAGAAAGGAAGAATGTCTACTGTGATGGGATCTTCGACATGTGCCACGTGGGTCACCAGAATCTCTTTCGCAATGCATCGAAGCTGGGAACGCATGTGTTCGTGGGTGTCGTCGGTGACAAGGATGCGAACAATTACAAGAGGCCCCCGATCATGACGGCTGCTGAGCGCGAAGCACAAGTACTGGGGTGCAAGCATGTGGACAAGGTCATCACTAATGCGTTGTGCTTTGGCATGACGGAGGAGTTCTTGAAGGAACACAACATTCACGTTTGTGCGGTCGGGCAGGAGTACTTCGATCGTTTTCCTGATCCCGAGGACGACCCCTACTACAAAGTTCCGCGCAAGTTGGGGATAGCCGTGCCGCTGCCCAGATTCGATGGTCTCTCTACTTCCGATCTCATCCAGCGAGTGAAGGACAGGATCTAAATTTTCCCAGAAACTGCTTCGCTCCCAGGCTCTCATAGCACAGTAACTCACGCCATGGGAGCTTCAGGAACGTTTTGATATCATCGCCATACAAGTACTGCACAGCACGAACACTAAGATCCCACAACAGTCTTTGTTTTTAAGACACCCTTGTCATTGCAACTTTTTGTTTAAGACACCCTTAAGGCTTTGCCATTGCTGCGAAGTACACCGAGTCATCGCTGCGCAGAGTCACGATGGGCGTGCGCAGGAACCTGCCCATAGGGCACTGGTTGTCGAGGGCTCGCCCTTGATGTTGGCTGATCGGTTCAACCCAACCTGGGTATGTGTCGATACTCAGCTCCCTTCACACAAAGATGCCAAAGAACCTAGCCATAAGCCTTCAAGCCCCCAACACTGCTGAAAGCTATAAAACGGAGAAGTGAACATGAGATACGTTTTTATATGGGAAGTCGCAAGTATACTTTAACTTCCCCGCCCGCTCTCTTGCAGGAACCCTTTCGATTCCCTCAAGCCATAGGACCTGTGGACCTAGCTAGCATCATGTAGAGCCCGCACTCGTCGGCGGTAAACCCGCACGAGTACGTCATTCCTATAGAACCGAATTCCCAAACGATGTCTTGGTGACGCTTCAGGGAGATCGGCGCATACCCAACTCTGCCAGCGCAAGCCTGTTGCTGAAAGCAGAAAACGTTTGATCATTCTATACCCCTCTAACACCCAAAACCCGAAACCCTAAGGCCTGCCAGCAACAGTGATAAGGACAGTAGATTGGTTTAGGGTTTAGGGCCGTTTCGGGCTCAGGTGGCTGATGACACAGTCGTAGCAAACAGCATCAGACAAGGCTCTGGCCGTAGTACGGATGATTGTAATGACAGCAAGATTCAGGGATCCAGCCCTATCTACCCCAAACCCTCTACACTGTAAGCCCTGAGTCCAAGCCCAAACCCTGTAAGCCTGTGAACCCCAGACGACATAAACCCTAAGCCCCAGACCTAGGCGCTTAACCTAAAGGATCCTAAAGGGGTTTTCTGGGTCCTTGTTGGATACAATTTTACATTTTTGTCACAATAAAACCCAATAATGCTTATTGTTGGAACCAGTTTTCAAGAGAACTATACATTAAAGAACGACCAAGGAATCCAGGCCACGACATTGCACCCTGAACCGTAAAGACCAGTTGAATGAGTTTAGGGTGTAAAGCTAAACTCGAAGCCCGAAACCTCCACCACCATGCTAAGCTATAAACCCAAAATTCTCTGCCCTGTAAAGTCTCTATCTGGATCCCAAAAGTCTGTAGAATGACAGCCTTCTATAGGTGTTGGGCCATTGTTCTACTTGCTTTTGGGCGTTTCGGTGCACTGAACTCCCTGTACCTCTTCTGTGCACCCAAGGACCTTATAGTTAGGGCCTTAGACCCCTTTCAGGAACGCAATGCCAAGGTCCCTGAAAGCAAAGGGCTCTACCCTAAACGGTAAATCCCCTAAACCCCAATCCCTAAACCCCGAAACCCCTAAACCCCGGAACCCCTGAACCCCTAAAACACTAAACCCTAAATCCATAAAACCCCTAAAGGACTAAGCCTTAAGTCCTAAACCTTGAAACCCAGTCCTAAACCCCTAAAGGCCTAAGTCCTAAGCCAAAACCTAAGTCTTAAACCCCTAAAGGCCTAAGTCCTAAACCCTAAAACCTAAGTCCTAAACTCTAAAACCTAAGTCTTAAACCCCTAAAGGCCTAAGTCCTAAACTCTAAAACCCAAGTCCTAAACCCTAAAACCTAAGTCCTAAGCTCTAAAACCTAAGTCCTAAACCCTAAAACCTAAGTCCTAAACTCTAAAACCTAAGTCCTAAACCCTATAGAGCCTAAACCCGAACTAAACTGAGGTGACCATTGGCGACTGCGAGAGCATTGCCTCTTGGCTTTTCGAGGGCATTACTTTGGGGTTTGAAATCGGACCCGCTATGGATTGAAGGTTGAGGGGTTTATAGGGTTTAGGTTTTTATGGTTTCAGGACTTTAGGGCTTTAGTGAAACTTTAGTGCTTTAGGGCTTTAGGGCTTTAGGGTTTAGGGGTTTTAGGGTTTTAGGGTTGAGGGTTGAGGGGTTCAAGGTTAGTATATAAAAGCCTACTCATCTCCGATGTTCTTCTTCAGGGTCGCTATACTATACTAGGTAGGCCTTTGGAACTTTTTATTATTTTCCCTTATTTGCCCTAAAGAGGGTCTTACTTACGATTTTTTCAAAGGCTTTAAGGGGCCATCGTAGTATAATCATACCATCTTTAAGGCTTCGTGTAGAAGCCTGTAGACTAGATACGAATAGTTCGTCTAGGACATTTTGCAGGTGGGTAGTTACCGTTATCGGAGCCTTATAGAAGGTCTATATACCGTATAGAAGCCTTATAGAAGCCCTATATACCCTAACCCCCCCCCCCACCTGTAGTTTCCTTTAGATACTATTCGATAGATGCCTGCACAGGCAGAAAAAAGTTGAGTATAGGAGCTTGCAGAATATTCTCCATTAGATATCCATCGCACACATGGGTAGTTTTCGATTTTAGGGTCCCTTTTAGGGTCCTTTTTCTACGGCTGCCGTAGTATTTGAGGGACCTAACCAGGGCCCTTAATTTAGAGAACTGCCCACATGCTGTCAATATGGTTGATGATATAAATCCTGCATGACCCATAATGAGGAATATGCCATAATTCCCAGAGTTTAGGGAACGTAAGGCAATGCAGGATTTAGATCATCAGCAGTACCTTCCCAACCAAGGATCCGAGAATAGCCTCCAGCTTTGAGACTTCACCGATCAGCTGCAACCGAAGATCCATTCACTTCTAAATTCGACAGATCTATGTCTACAAGGGGTTTCGGAGAAAGGGTGTAGGAAGCAGGACACCGAATTCTAAAGTTGGATCCGGCCGGCTGCTGGGTTTAGTTGTTTTTTTTTTTTTTGTGTGTGTGTGTGTGTTTTTTGTTTTACCTGGTAGGGTTTCGGGTTTAGGGAATGAATTAGAGTTTAGGGTTTAGGGTTAAGCCGGTTAAGCAGGTCTCGTATGTGAATCGGAACTCAAAAACCCTCACAACGCGACATCTAGGGGGGTTCGCACAGGTGTGATGGCCACTCTGTCACTCCCCTGCGGGAAAGAGGAGACCCTGCCTCTGTATCTTTGATCTCGCAGATACGAGTTTCCGACAATTTGTGGACGGTTTTGGCTTTAGGGTTTAGCGAGTTTGGCGCCTTCTGCGGCATTTTGTTGAATTGTGTACGACTCATTTGGCTGTTGTTGAGGTGTGTAAAGTCTTCTCGTGCTTGCAATGCACCGTAGGGCAGGAACAACCCAAAGGTTTGTAAAGATGCTCACCTGGTTTCTGGCTTCTGGTTTAGTTTGTTGGCCATTGGATTGATTATGTAATGTTAGCAAAATAAACATATGAATACTAGTAATTATATTAATTAGTAGTAATAATAATAATAGTGATAATAATAACAATAATAAAGATAGTAACACTAATAATATGAATAATGCGAAGGATAAATAAGCATAGTACTTATGATCATGAGGTTTCATGTAACCGGGCTCTTGGCCTTTTCGTCGATCTGAGGGGCTCAGGCTCTAAACGCTCCTTAGGTCGCTTCTATGGACGACCTGGACCCTTAAGGAACCTCCCTTTTTAGGGTTCCATATTCAATGATTTCCTTGTCTAAGCCCTTAACAAGGTAGGTTCTTTGGGGTCTAGGGAGATCATCTTCGGGGTTCAGGGTCTAGGGCCTAGGGTTTGGGGCCTCCGGGTTTAGGGGAAACGCTAGTTTACGAGCTCATAAACCTTATAGATGTTCAGATCTAATTGTGGTTGGAGCTACCTGTATGGGACCTTCAAAACGGAGGCCTTCGATTTTGTCGTGTGAAGGTTGCTTTCGATAGCAATCTTTTTGTTTACCCTTCAAGGAACCCTAAACCCTAAACCCTATAAACCCTAAGCCCGAAACCCTAAACCCCAAACCCTATAAACCCTGAACCCAAAACCCTAAACCCTAAACCCTTGAAGGGGAAACCTTTAAAGGAGCCCTGATGGGCTGGGGCCTCGTGGTCCGCCCTGAAGACTTCACGGACCCTCCAAACCAAAATTCGCGTGCCAGGGTTTGGGGTTTAGGGTTTAGGGGTTTTATGGGTTTAGGGTTTGGGGGTTTAGGGTTTATGGGTTTGGGGTTTAGGGGCTTTGTGGGTTTAGGGTTTAGGGGTTTAGATATAGGGTTTAGGGCCCCGATAAACCACAAGCCCTTTCCAACCCAAGCCCGCAGAGAAGCGGCATGTTGCGCGGCACCCTCTATAGAAGGCGTAAACCTAATATAGGGGCCTAAATAATGATATTAAAAATACGAACATCAATAATAATAAGAAGAAGAATCATAATACTAATAATAATTATAATTACCAATACTATTTGATACTGTATTGGGGCGTCCTAACTCTATTTATAGTGTAATGGACCCCCCCCAGCCCTACCTAATTACCCCAAAACCCCCTCACCGAAACTGCCACTGGCCAGGAGATCGCGGCCGCGACCACGGTGAGGGAAAGGTTTGTGTGCGAGGAGCTTCGTCGCTCGGGCTCAGACTGCTGTTGTTTTGGGTTCACGATAGAGATCTACATGAGTTTATAAGTCGTAACATAGAGATCTAAATGAGTTTAGTCGTAACATAGAGACATCTAGATGAGTTTAGTCGTCTAGAAGAGTTTAGCCGTAATTTTAAACGCTGCGCGTCGTCCGCCTCGGCCCGGCCGTATGTTGGGAGGAAGACATGATGCCAGGTCTGGGGCTTTTGCTTTCGCAGGATATCGGGGTGCAGCGTCTGCGGGGTGAGGAGTGATAGGGTTTGTGCATAGACAAACTATATATAACTATATAAATAATTAAATCAAAAAATAAATAAATACATAAATAAATAAATAAATATATATATA